GAGTTCCCTATTGTGTCGAGATGATTATATAGAAACAAATCATGTCGCCGCTGGCCATATCAAACATTTACGGATAGGGAGAAAGTGGCAGCTTTGGTGCCGCTACTGTACCTTGGATGCGCAGCGAGCACGCAGCCGCACCTGTACCCAGTTCCCTGGGACCTTGAGAACTTGTACCCATTGTTGACCGTCGTCCTCCCTGCGGTTTGGCCTCAAGAGATTTCTTCCACCTCTTGAGAAACCAGAAAATGAAATGCAAGATCATATCAAAATTGTACGGAAGAAAAATATATAGTCAACGTAACCAGTGTGACAAGTTGAAGGAAAATATAAGACAAATTGCGATATTTATTTCTCACCAAAAAAATAACAAGAAAAGATATCTAGTCAGTCCAATTTAACAAAATCTGGACAGTAGCACAAGTATTTAACTGAAGATGTAGCAGCCAATCAAATGAATATATGGTGAAGATGAATAAAATGAGGCACTCAACAACTTAGGCATGGGGTCCCGGTCATTGATGGAGAGCGTTTGATGCTCCAAATCAAACAAACAAACAAATATGTTTAGCTCACCAAGAACAGGAGCACTAACCAAACAATCCCTATCCAGTAGAAATTTTAGGCAGTGACCAGTGAGTAGATGAGTTAAAAAGTAAGAAATATGAATATTTTGTGTAAGGTAAACATAAAAACATTTTTTTGGTAGGACTAAAGAGCTCTTGAATGTTCTAAAGCGCAAAGAATTAGGTATACTATCCAGTAGGACTAGCGTCCAGCAAGCATTGACAGGACACATATGTCATTAACAAAATGATAAGAGTATCAGGATCATTATGGTCTTGCTAAAGTGCCATGTTTGTTCTTTCTGCTTCATGGCTATCCTAAACAATGTTGGACTTAATCACGATTAGGTTAGCTTGTCCGGTACAGACTATTCATCCTGAGCCAAGTCGGTCATGTACTAGTAGAATATAGGTTCTGTATATATTGTACGTGGCTGCCCTGTAAATGTAAGTCAGATCAATATAGAAAGAAAAGCAAAGGTTCGACACGGGCCTTTAGCCATCATCTCGGCGTCTCTGTGTTGGTTCGTGTTCGCGTGTGTGCGTGCTAAACTAGCTCGTATCAGGCAAGCCGGCGGCTTGCAGTTTTGTACGTGCGTGTGCTAGCGTCCAGGAGAAAATCAATCCAGCAGTTTGCTAGGCTGCTTCGGTGTTACGTGCACTTCGGCAACGTCTACGTCTCCAACCAGTTACTCGGCAAGCTCGGAAAGTAATCGAGCTGTCTCGTACGCGTGTATCGCCAGAAAGTACTCGGCTACATCGGCGTGAGGTCGGGCCTGTGCCAACAAACAACCCCTTCAAAACATGAAGAAGAATAAAAAGCTAGTAAGGCGAAAATGCAGCAAACCAAGATGGTTGGTCAAACGCTTCAACTAAAATCTAGTTGGGCTGGAATCTAAATGCAGTCTGTACACATTGCTTGCACATGTCAAATGAGCGATGAATGAATTATTTTTGCAGTACAGCAAGCAAACACTCCGTTCACAAAATAAGAAAGTCTGGTTTTACACAAGCAATGGTTAAAGGTTGAATGTTCAGTGGCACACATAACATAACAGTAAACAAAGACGCCAATTGTGGCATCAGATTGGCAGCAATATTTAATCTTACTTGGGCATGAAGAGCTATGTATAAATGGAACCAAGCAAATGGATCAATTTGGCCTAAGCAGGACCAACTGTAAAAAATAAGTTGAAAGCTAGCTCGGTTGATAAATTTGTTATAGCTAAAACAAAACAAAAACAAGGCCTTAACCATCCATCTCTCTCTCTGAAACCAACCATCCATGCATGTACAAAGTAAACTGAAACAAAATCCAATCTGCTCCATGGATAGGATAGGATCAGATTGGACCAAAGCAAACTAGTTTGCTAGCTAGGCAGGGGGAGGTAAACTAAAATGCTGCAAAGGGGAAGGAAGGTCGTTCGTCTTACCACCACGTTGGTACAGGGGCGCTGGATATGGCTGGCCGTTGCGGATCTGAAGAAACAGTGGCAGAAGGGACACCTTACTTGCTCCATTGCGGCGTCCCTGCATCTATTGAGCTGCAGCTACGTGGGGAAGGAAATCAGGGAAGGAGGTCAAATCAAATCGAATAGAAAAGATGGGCAAGGGCTGACCTTGAAGCGCAGCCATGTGTGTGCTCACGCAACTCTCATGGCCTCCATTGATGGACCGTCAATCTGGGAAGGAAGGAAGCAGCCTCCCATGTTGACCTCCACCATGGGATCCTTGACGAGGCCCTCTTCTCAGTCATGGGAGGAAGATGGTTAGGGAGGAGAGGACGCTGGTTGTGGCCGTGGCAGATCTGGCCGCCGCCCGACCCGCATTAACGGCATCGGCGCCGCGTGCACTAGGTTCGCCTTCAGGGGCGTCCCGCCTCTGGGAATGAGGCTATCGTCGCGTTGGTTGGCGGATCTACTCCTGGAAGATGGCCATGGATGAGGAGGTGACGGCGGCCATGGATGGGGAGGGTGGGGGATCTGGAAGAGGACAGTGAGAACAGGGGAGTCTGGGCGGACAAAGGAGAAGGAAGAACTGGGCGGAGATCCACAGGGGAGTCGGGGAGGATAGAGTTGATTGCTTGCCGTTGGATCACAGAAGAGGAGACGGTCTGGATTTGCGACCCGTGGGACGGTTACCTCAACCAATCACAACGCGAGTTTTTCCTCACGTTGGATTGCCACATCAGCACCATCCATCCATGACGGCCCGAATGGTGCATACGAACTAAAAATATAGGCCCAGTCAGTCGAGCCATGACGGTTTCCGTGACGGTCCCTTTTTATCTGTCATAATTGGGCTACCGGTTTGGGGGGCCATCCTCATGTTGCTAATATATGACGGATTTTGTGACAAACCTGGTAAAACCGTCATAATTTGTGTCAGTTTTCGAGAATGTCACCAGAATACTGTCATGGATTAACAGGTTTTTTTGTAGTGCCATTAAAAACGACATCATTCCTGTGTTTCCACATCTCCCAAAGGCTAAGAGTGATGATGGCCTTGAGATCTCTCCTTGAGTACTGGCTGGTCGTCCGCGTGGTGCACCAGTCTATGAGAGTGTCAGATGCCATAGGTGCCTGGTCCGGACACCTGAGGCCCTGCCAAATGCGTCCCCACACTATGCGGGCAAAACACAGGTCAGTAGGATGGGATTTATAGTCTCTTTGGCTTGGTTGCAGAGTGGGAAGGCCTGTTGATGCGGAAGGCCTCTCCGGGCCAATCTGTCGGAGGTCCAACACCTATTTCTCATCACAAGCCACGTGAAGAAGTGATGCTGTTGCGGGGCTCGCTGTTTCCAAACCATGTCTGCGTACGGCGACGCTTCCCATTGCAAAGTCTCCTGAACATGAGAGATCGCTGTAGCACATTGATGTCGTTGTGAGAATCAGACATGCCAAAGAAAGCATAGCAAATTCACAAGTCCATTGATGTGACTACTTCGAGTATGATGCTGGCCTCTTTGATGTGACCTTGGTGCATCCCGCGCCAACCCTTGGCTAAGTTACTCCATTGCCATTGCATGTAATCAATTGAACCAAGAATACGTGAAAGGCATCTTGCCGCTCCAATCACCATCAACTTTTCTGTATCTTGCACACTTGGTTCTCTTGGATATTTTGCTCCAAAGACCTGCACCATGACGTGTGGAAATCTCACAGTGGTCTTTAGGCATGTCCTCCCCATCCAAACCATCTCATCAACGACATCAACAGTGGTACCTGGTGCAAACATCCTCATAGTAGTCGTGTATTTCTACTTAACAAAGAATGAGAGTCGTCCGCTGCAGTCCCTGGTGAACCTGAAGTAGGGATCATGTTCCTTCACTCCCTCCATCATGCACAAGAACAAGGGTTTCTGCATATAAAGCGTCGAAGAAACCATGTATCAAAGAATGTCGGTTTGGGATCAAAGTACTTGTAGGGAAGTCGTGCTCCAGCGACCCTATCTCGGTTCAAAAGTATCCTCCCTTTGATACAACCCTTGATGTTCAGAATGTGATCCACCTCTCTGCCCATTTCCTTCTGGATGCTCATGTTCATCATCATCTTGATATCTTCGTCCAACTCCAACAAATCGAAGAACTCTTTTGCATTAATTCATCAAGCTTCGTGTTTCCATACTCCTCATCAGGATCCATCGTTTTGCCTACATAAGAATCACAAAAAACTGCTCGAACAATTTGTCGAACACATAGACGGCAAGGTGCAGTCCGAGAATAGCCGGACGTACCGTGGCGTCCGGGGTGGCATAAGTGTACGGAGCGGTGAGACGGCCGTCGGCCGGGGTTGAGTTTTGTGGCGGTGATGGCGGTGGACTTAGGGGAGGGCTGGAGCGGACAAGGGAGAAGAGAGGAAATGGCTCATCTGATAAGGCGGGGGAGATTTGGTGGAATTTGTGATGGATCCTGTTTATCGAATTCGACGTGCGGGTCCCGGCTTATCATACCCGCCACAGATATGGGATAGATATGAAGTGCCAGCCAACCCGACATATAGGACCGGTCAGAGGTGCCCGGCCAGGTCACGTTTTTGTGACCGGTCACTGACCGGAACGTGTGCTCAGACGCATAGAGAACGTTTGAGGATGCCGGCTGTAGATGATTTTACTAGCAAGTTGCATGCACGACTATTCAAATCACAACATACACTAATGTCACATTTCACTTTAATCGATTGTAGCTAAGTTATGTCATGCCTTTCTTTTATATGATTTGATTTTGCAGTACAAGGACACCACCGAAGCAATCGAGGACGCGACGCGTGCCATCCTACAACAGTGCGAGCGGTCCAAGTCAGTGAGACGTGTCATCAGTACGGGTCTGTTATCACGGCGTCGCCACTCCACGAGGACGGGAAAGGGTACAAAGAGTTTGCGAATGAGTCCTGCTGGACTCTGCTCGGCCTGCCCATTGATCACAACAACGAATTCATGGACGTGAGTGCTTCTTGCGATTTTGATGTTTTTTCTGTACACGGTGATATCATTTTAAGAAGTATGTAAACATATATGTTATACTGAGTAGTTTTTCGAAACACGTGAACCTTTTTTAACACAATTTTTTTGTAAACACAAATATTTTCTAAATGAGTAAATTTTTCAAAAGTATATGACCACATATCTAGTGGTGTTTGAATATATATTTTTTAAATACATGAACATTTTTAACACATGATTTTTTCTTAAACATGTGATGAACTTTTTTCTCGAATATATGAACATTTTTATATTAAGAAACATGAATATTTTTATTTTCCAGCACATATTTTCGTTTTAAAACTATTTAAATAATATTATTTAAAACCTATTAAATTTAAAATTCCGGAATAATTTTGTGTGTGAAGATATTGCATCTGGCGATATAGACAACCTTGTGCATTATATAAGCTATTCCACGGAGTTTGTGTGGAATAAGAGCTGCCGGTCTTTTGCCTGTTCTTAAAATGAAAGTATATTTTGAGCAAATGGCCGGCTCGGCATGCTAGGCCGGCAACATTGTCACAAGCCTGCTCACTTGTTGTACTATCAAGCAATCTGTCCCCATTTTGTTGTTGTTACTTATGTTATATATGCAGGATTACCTCTCCTCTAAGTGCATCGCCGAGAAGGAGCTAGTCAAGTACAACGACGGCCCCTCCGAGAGCAGAGCGTTCGACGTCGTCGTCCTGTTACTGGGCCTCGTAGGAGGAGACACCCTCCTGCCGTACATCAACGAGAGCCAACACTTCATGCTGTCGCCTTTCACCGGCATCGAGCCTTACCACAACGCCCTCAGGTTCACGCAGGCCCTCCTCGGCTCCGTGCCGGTGGTGCACGTCGACGACGTCTGCAAGGCGCACGTCTTCTGCATGGAGCGCCAGCGCGACGTCGCTGCCGGTCGGTACCTCTGCGCCACCGCACACCCCAACATGCAGGATCTGGTGGAGCACTACGCGAGCAAGCACCCGGAGCTCAAGCTGACGCTGAAAGAGTACTTTTCTTCGACTAAATGTTCCAAATCAGGTATCTCATGGTGCGTTTGAATTGTGATTAATACTAATCTCTCATTGCGTGTCGATTGTTAGGGTGGTGGGAGAGGGAGTCAGAGTGCAGGTCAACACGAACAAGCTTGTGGAGCTGGGGTTCAAGTTTAAGTACCGGGCAGAGGCGGTGCTTGATGGCAGCGTCGATTGCGGGAAAAAGTTAGGAGTGCTGTCAGTGGCGGATCAAGGATCCTAAAAAAAGATCTAACGGAGGAGAAGCCTCGTGAACAGTATATTCAAGCAGAGACCACCCGGATGAGCTACCCAAATTTGCTCAAGAGTGGAAACTGGTTAATATGGATGTGCCACCACTGGGTCAAGTTATCTTTTAGATGTTATATGTTCGTGTTCTTGTAATTTTTTCTTGAAACTCAATGAAGTTATTGTACTCCTTTGGCGATTAGTTTGGGTTGGTCTCATGAGTTGTTTCTATTAAGAGTCTGAAAGAACATATGTTTGAAACGTTTTCTTTTACCCCCAAACCGTAGAATAATAGGTGTACGGTATAATTTATAAAAGCCCAATATATTACAAAAAAGTGGAAAAGAAGACCTAAAAGGCCAAAGATCCAAGTGAGGACCTAGCCAATGCCTGTTCTAGGTATAAGAGTCATGGATTTACAAATTATTGTATAACCACTTGGAGAAACTTTGTTCATACTTATCCTTAATATTGAATCTTAGGAGTTTCAGGTCTTGCTTCAATAGAACCTTCATGCCTGAATTGACTGTTGCGGAGCTCTGAAAATTTTGTCATTTCTCTAAATCCATACATTCCAACATCCCAATATAACAATTTCCGAAGCAAATTGTTTTGAAAGGAGTTCCCTTGCAAAGGTGGTGTCCTCATACACAGATGCACCTCTCTTTCTATTTGGTATCAATGAGTTCCAACAATCTTGTGCAAAGTTACAATCCCATAAAAGATGCATAGTGGTCTCTTCCGCCCTCTTATTGCAGTTAGGACAATAAGGATTGTCTAGGTGCACTCATTTTCTTTTGAGAACTGCTATGTATTCCCTCCGTCCGAAAAAGCTTGTCCCTCATTTAGCACTAACTTGATGCTAGATATATCCATTTAAGGGACAAACTTTTTCGGACAGAGGAAGTATATTGGAAACGTACATAGGCTTGTGTGTGTGTGTGTGTGTGTGTGTGTGTTTCTTCGGACATGGAGTATTTGATCCCGAGCACATATGCTCCCGAATGAACAGTAAAATCAAAAAAATAGTAAAAATTCAAAAAAAAAATCTATTTTTTTGTGATGAACATTGACAAAATTTCTAATTGCGTGCAAAATTTCAGCTGAAATGACATTCATGGAGGTCTGGGCAAAAAAAATTCGGATATGGTCTTTCAGGTGGCGTGAGTTGTGAAACTTATGTTCGGACACACCATTACACTGTGGTGTTTCAGGTGGCGTGAATTGTGATACTTATTCCACATTGTTTTAGATGAAGGCCAAACTCGAAACTCAAGTATTCACCTCCACGATCCGATCGTATAAATTTTATGTTCTTGTTATGATGATTTTCCTCTTCACTTTGAAATTCTTTGAACTTTTCAAATGTTTCAGACATATGTTTCATTAAGTAGATATACTCATATCTGCTTAAATCATCTGTGAAGATCAGAAAATAACGATACCCGCCACGAGCCTGAACACTCATCGGACTGCATACATCAGTATGTATTATTTCCAATAAGTCAGTGGCTCGCTCTATTGTTTCGGAGAATGGAGTTTTAGTCATCTTGCCCATGAGGCATGGTTCGCAAGCATCAAGCGATTCATAATCAAGTGATTCCAAAAGCCCATCAGTATGGAGTTTCTTCATGTGCTTTACATCAATATGACCTAAACGGCATTGCCATAAATAAGTTGCACTATCATTATTAACTTTGCATCTTTTGGCATCAATATTATGTGTATCACTATGATAGAGATTCAGTAAACCGTTTACATTGGATGTAAGACCATAGAAGGTTTTATTCATGTAAATAGAACAACAATTATTCTCTGACTTAAATGAATAACCGTATCGCAACAAACATGATCCAATCATATTTATGCTCAACGCAAACACCAAATAACATTTATTTGGTTCCAATAGTAATCCCGATGGTAGAGGGAGTATGCGATGGTGATCTTATCAACCTTGGAATCATTTCCAACACACATCGTCACCTCGCCCTCAACTAGTCTTTGTTTATTTTGTAACTCCTGTTTCGAGTTACTAATCATAGCAACTGAACCGGTATCAAATACCCAGGGGCTACTATAAACACTAGTAAAGTACACATCAATAACATGTATATCATATGTACTTCTGTTCACTTTGCCATCCTTCTTATCCGCCAAGTATTGGGGCAGTTCCGCTTCCAGTGACCATTTCCTTTGCAGTAGAAGCACTCAGTTTCAGGCTTGGGTCTAGCTTTGGGCTTCTTCATGGGAGTGGCAACTTTCTTGCCATTCTTCTTGAAGTTCCCTTTCTTTCCCTTTCCCTTTCACTTGAAACTAGCAGTCTTGTCAACCATCAACACTTGATGCTTTTCTTGATTTCTACCTTCGCCGATTTCAGCATCGCGAAGAGCTCGGGAATCGTTTTTGTCATCCCCTGCATATTATAGTTAATTACGAAGTTCCAGTAACTTGGTGATAGTGACTAGAGCACTATGTCAATCACTATCTTATCTAGAAGATTAACTCCCACTAGATTCAAGTGATTGTAGTACTCGGACATTCTGAGCACATGCTCACCGGTTGAGCTATTCTCCTCCATCTTGTAGGCAAAATACTTGTCATAGGTCTCATACCTCTCGACTCGGGCATGAGTCTGAAATACCAATTTCAGCTCTTGGAACATCTTATATGCTCCGTGGCGTTCAAAATGTTTTTGAAGTCCCGATTTTAAACCGTAAAGCATGGCATGCTAAACTATCAAGTAGTCATCATACCGAGCTTGCCAAACGTTCAAAACGTCTACATCTGCTCCTACAATAGGTCCATCACCTAGCGGTTCATCAAGGACTTAATTCTTCTGTGCAACAATGAGGATAATCCTCAGATCACGGACCCAGTCCGCATCATTGCTACTTTCATATTTCAACCTATTTTTCTCTAGGAACATATCAAAAATAAACGGGGAGTTACATCGCAAGTTATTGATCTACAATATAGATATGCAAATACTATCAAGACTAAGTTCATGATAAATTAAAGTTCAATTAATCATATTACTTAAGAACTCCCACTTAGATAGACATCCCTCTGGTCATCTAAATGATCACATGATCCATATCAACTAAACCATGTCCGATCATCACGTGAGATGGAGTAGTTTTCAATGTTGAACATCTCTATGTTGATCATATCTTCTATATGATTCACGTTCGACCATTCGGTCTCAGTGTTTCGAGGCCATATCTGCATGTGCTAGGCTCCTCAAGTTTAACCCGAGTATTCTGCACGTGCAAAAATGGCTTGCACCCATTGTATGTGAACGTAGAGTTTATCACACCCGATCATCACATGGTGTCTCGGCACGACGAACTATAGCAATGGTGCACTACTCAGGGAGAACACTTATACCTTGAAATTTAGTGTGGGATCATCTTATAATGCTATCGCCGTACTAAGCAAAATAAGATGCATAAGGAGAAACATCACATGCAATCAAAATATGTGACATGATATGGCCATTATCATCTTGTGTCTTTGATCTCCATCTCCAAAGCACTGTCATGATCTCCAACGTCACCGGCTTGACACCTTGATCTCCATCATAGCGTCATTGTCGTCTCGCCAACTATTGCTTCCACGACTATCGCTACCACTTAGTGATAAAGTAAAGCAATTACATGGCGATTGCATTTCATACAATAAAGCATCAACCATAAGGCTCCCGCCAGTTGCCAATAACTTTTACAAAACATGATCATCTCATACAACAATTTATATCTCATCACATCTTGACCATATCACATCACAACATGCCCTACAAATACAAGTTAGACGTCCTCTACTTTGTTATTGCAAGTTTTACATGGCTGCTACGGGCTTCTAGCAAGAACCGCTATGCATCAAAACCACAACATTTTTCGTCAAGTGTGTTGTTTTAACCTTCAACAAGGACCGGTCGTAGTCAAACTCGATTCAACTAAAGTTGGAGAAACAGACACCCGCTAGCCACTTGTGTTCGAAGCACGTCGGTAGAACCAGTCTCATGAACGCGGTCATGTAATGTCGGTCCGGGCCGCTTCATCCAACAATACCGCCAAATCAAAGTAAGACGTTGGTGATAAGCGGTATGACTATTATCGCCCACAACTCATTGTGTTTTACTTGTGCATATCATCTACGCATAGACCTGGCTCGGATGCCACTATTGTGGAATGTAGTAATTCAAGAAAAAATCCTACGATCACGCAAGATCTACCTAGGAGATGCATAGCAACGAGACGGGGAGAGTGTGTCCACGTACCCTCGTAGACCGAAAGCGGAAGCATTATGTTAACGTGGTTGATGTAGTCGAACGTCTTCACGATCCAACCAATCAAAGTACCAAACGTACGGCACCTCCGTGTTCAGCACACGTTCAGCACGATGACGTCCCTCGAGCTCTTGATCCAGTAGAGGGTCGAGGGAGAGTTTCGTCAGCACGCCGGTGTGGTGACGGTGTTGGTGATGTGATCCGCGCAGGGCTTCGCCTAAGCACTACGACATTATGGCCGAGGTGGTAAACCGTGGAGGGGGTCGCCGCACATGGCTAAGGAACAACTGATGTGTCTTTGGGGTGCCCCCCGCCCCTGTATATAAAGGAGGAGGGGAGGAAGCGGCCGTCCTAGGGGGCACGCCAAAGGGGGGGAGTCCAACTAGGACTCCCAATCCTAGTTGGACCCCCTTTCCTTTTTCGGAGGGGGGAAAGAGGGAAGGGAGAGGAAGAGGAGAAGGAAAGGGGGGGGGCCCATCCCTAGTCCAATTCAGACTCCCTATAGGGAGGGGCGCGGCCACCACTTATGGGCTGCCTCCCCTCTCCCCTATGGCCCATGTAGGCCCAATATTCCCCCAGGGGGTTCCGGTAACCCCTCGGTACTCCGGAAAAATACCCGAATCACTCGGAACCATTCCGATGTCCGAATACAACCTTCCAATATATGAATCATTACCTCTCGACCATTTCGAGACTCCTCGTCATGT